CATTCCTGAGGGGACACAAGGACATCCTCGTCAGCCGCCGGGCTCCCCCCCTACCCTCCCGCAGCCGGGGGGGGACCCTCCCAAGCAGGCAGCATCTTTGGGGTTGGTTTGGATGTCCTGGGCCAGGCAGAGCCCCTTCCACCCCATCCCAGCACAGGCTCTGCCCCTGCCTCCGTATCTGCTCCAGCCTCAGCCCCTCCACCCAGTCCTGCCCCGGCACTTGGATGCTGAGGAGCAGCTCAGGTGCCCCGGGTGGGCTCAGGACCATCTCACTGCTGTGGGGGAAAAGCCCCACAACCGACTCCCCCAGGCAGTCCCAGGGCAGTGACAGGGTGCTAGGGTATGAGGGGTGAGTGCCGAGAAGCCCCCATGGGATGCTGCAAGGCAGCTGAAGGGGGGGCATGAGGGTCCTTACCTGGGCGCTGCCGAGGGGCAACTGCAGGATGCCCAGGGCCAGCCAGGCTGGCAGCAGGATGAGGAGCATCATGCCGGGGCTGGCTCCAGCCATGCGGGCTGCCGGGACGAAACGCCGGTGTACTGGTTCTGCCGTGCTCACTTGCAGCTGCACTCCTGCGCTCGCTGGGATTTATCCGCGGCGCGTGCCCGCGTGTTTGTTGGTTTTTCCCCTGGCCAAGGCCGAGCATAGGAAAGTTTCCCCTTGGCAGTGGCGCCAGCCTCTCCCTTCCCTTCCCTCTCTGCACATCAGAGGCTTTGGGGCCTTTCATGTCACAGGGCCAGCGGATGCCGGGGCCAGGCGGTGGCTGTCACAGCACTTGCCACAGTACCAGCGGTGCCGGGCTCCCCCCACAGCCAGCCCACAGCTCCGGGGGTCCCTGGCACGTGGGAGTGCAGGATGAGGTTAATCCTGTGCATTTGCTAAGCGTGGGAAAGTCTCCAGGAGAAGGGATGGCTTTGGGGTCAGCACTGGGTTCCAGCTCGCCAGTGGGGCTGGGGCTCGCTGAGGAGGGCAGCCCGGCAGCACCGTGGACTCGCCGGCCTCGGCACAGCTTTGCTGGGGTGAGCTCAGCCACAGACGGAGCTTAGAGGGGGACCCCAGGGCTGCAGTGCCTGGAGTTGGGGTGCTGGTTGGTACTGGGGTTGGCATTAACATTAGGGTCAGGGTTAATGTTAGGGTCAGCGTTAGGATTAGGGTTAGAGTTAGGGTTAGCATTAGAGTTAGTGTGAGGGTTAGGGTTGGCATTAAGCTTAGGGTTGGGGTTCGCGTTGGGGTTGGGGTTTGCGTTGGGGTTGGTATGGGCTCCAGGACCCCTCCTGAGCTCCTGCTGAGCCACGCCCCCCTGAGCCCGGCATCTCTCCCTCCGCCGGGCCCCCGGCCCTCACATCTTCCCACCCCGTAACCACGCTGCTCGGCTCGCCAGAGTGGGTATTTGGCTTCGTGCCTGCGGCGGTGTGTGTTACCTCCCTGGCATGTTTAATTCATGGGGCAGGAGGAAAGCTGGCAGCGGGGGCCTCCTTAGCTGCCCCCAGGCCCCTGGCATCCAATCTCCCCCTGCCCCAAAGTGGGTGCCATGTGGGATCCCCACTCCTGCCTGCCTTCCCATCCCAACCCCGGCTCAGCGGCGGGGCTGGGGCAGAGCACAGGGGGGCTGACCCACTGTGGGGCATCCCAGCGGGGCTGCAGCCCAGGGCCCCGGGAGTTGTCTGCCGCGTTCGCGCCAGCAAGCAACTGTTTTGACAGAGCTATTACTCACCCGTCAAGCTTTTGTTCGAGCTGACCAGTGGTGCCTGTCCTGAGTCCTGAATAGGATCAAATCCTGCAACCAGACACACACACAAGCACACACAAGCACGCAGGAGCACGCAGCCGAGCTCGCCCCAATGCCAGGGCTGCTGCGAGGTGGCTCGTCTCTCCTGAATTCTCCCTCCAGAGACATGGGGGTCTGGTGTCCCCCCCCAATCCCAACCACCTGCATGAAGCTCTTGGCGCTGCTGGTTTGCAACCTCCTGGCATGGAGGGTGGGTGAGATGGGGTCGGATGCTCCGGAGAAGTTGTCCGCGCTGGCTCCGGGAGGTAATAGGGAGAGGGGCTGGGGGGTGGCAGGTGGGGTCTGCTTGCTGGCAGCAAGTTTGG